TCAACTCATTCCTATGATAATGGAATTAATCCATTTATGAAAGCAGAGTCTTAATCACTTCTTAAAAAATCTCAATTCTCAACACTGTTACATTGGGGATTAAGTTTCCAGCATATGACATTTGGGGAATACATTCAACCCATAGCAGTTCTCTGTCACAAAGGAAAATCTTTCACTGAAACCTCCAGCAGATTTCCTGATATGTCTCATTGACTAGCACAGTGTTACATGTCCACCCCTAACCACCCAGTCACCAACAAAGGTGAACAAGATTGACTGAAACCAATCATGAGACACTGCCCAGGGGTTGCCATATCACTGTCTGAGCAATGCAGAGATTCTTTTAGCAAGGAAGAGAGTGGGTTTTGCTGTTGGTTATTAACTAACTATATTTACCACAGAAATGTCAATATAGTCCCTTTTCAGATGTTTTTGTAGAATTTTTGCAAAAGTGTCAGTATATTTTGTACTATATTGTTTTACACACTATTTTTCTAATTGCCTGTTGAGTTTGTTCACTTTTCAAAATGAATTACAGAGCTGTCAATTTTTTCCTCTAGGATGTGAAACATACATCTTTAACTTACAATATGCATCTTTAACTTATCATAACATACTTTAAAAAGTTATACTATTTTATGTATAATGCAAGAAACATGCAACAAGGAATTACTCTTGGATTTTTTTCCCCTTTTTAAGGAGAGAATTTTGTTATAGGGTATGTACGCTTGCCAGAGGTTCAGAGAAAGACAGAAAGTGAGAAACCAACCCCCGGGGGAATGACCATGCCGCAATTCTTTCTTCTCCATTCTCTTCTTGGGATTTTGGGCATGCATGCACACATACCTGGTGTGAGTTTCAAACCACTGGGTCTGGGACTCAAACCATAGTCAACCATGTGGGAATCCAGCACCTTAACCACTACACCACCTGCTGGATCTTGGATATTAGCCCCCCAAAAATGATATGGGTCAACAGCATTACTTTTTGTAATATATTTTTCTCATTGAGTATTATGATAGCTATAGCAAATAATCTAGGGAGTTTCTCATATTTTTCTGTGGCTGAAATAACATATCACGATAGTTACATGATTTTAAAGGTTTAACAGGAATTAACAAGGATTCAGTTCATTGTTTTCTGTTCATGTCTAAATGACTCTCTTCCCTTTAGGTTATTAAATGACATCAAGTTGCCAAATTTCCAATCCAATTTATCTTTTTTTTTTTTTGAGAGATTTTCACTGTAGGGTGCGTGCGCTCGCCCGCCAGACAGAGGCGGACATTACAGAAAGCGAGAAATCACCCCCCAGGGGGGATGGTCACGCCGCAATCCCTTCTCCTCCATTCTCCTCTCGGGATCTTGGGCACGCACGTACACGCGCCTGGCGTGAGTTTTAAGCCACCGGGTCCGGGACACGAACTGCGGTCGACTACGTGGGAGTCCAGCGACATAGCCATTACGCTAACTGCTGGTTCCCCAATCCAATTTATCTTGTGATCCAGACCTGTATATCCCATAATGCCTAGTTGACATCTCAACCCTGTTTGCCAAGTAATATCATAAACCACATCTCCAAAGCGGCACTCTTGCTTTTTCTTTTCTTTCTCCAATCTTTTCCATCTCAGAAATGATACCACTATTAGCCCACTTCCTTAAAACTAAAAACTAGAGGTCATCCTGGTATCTTTTCTTTCTCTCAATATTTATACTCTTCCCATCCAAACAATCTATAATACCTGTCAATTTTACTTTCAAAATATATTCTGAAGTTCTTTTTTTATGTGTATCTCCACTGATACTCTAAACTAAGCCAAATCTTGATAATTTCTTTTTTGGTTAAATACAACCAAACTGTTCTTTTCTTATTGATACTCTTGACCCCATATAATCTCTAGTCTATGCAACATCCAGAGTAAAACTTTTCAGATCTGATGATGCTACCACTAGAAACACTACAATGTCACCCTCTCACAACTAGAATAAAATTCAATCTTAATATTGCTTCTGAGGCCATGCAAGATGACACTTTATATTTCCAAGAGCATCTCGTTCTACTCTGTCCCCAATTTATCATGATCATGTTGTAGTCACACTGAGATCTTTTCTATTTCTTGGAGATTTGAAACTTTTTCTACACAAAGACTTTTGCAACCAGAGTTCTGGATCTCAGCTTAAATGTCATATTCTCAAAGAGGCCTTCTTTAAACTCCTTATGTACAGAGGACAATATCAAACCCCTGTGGAGTCCACATTTCTCACATCAACTTATACATAACATGTCAGCACACATCATAATTTATAATTATCTTGCTTATTTTTTTTTCATTTATCATTACAACAAAGGTATATAAACAGCATAAGGACCAGGAACTTTTCAACATTTTTCACCACTTTTTGTCAAGTGAATCTATTTTGTGTTCAATATTTGTTAAAGGAAGAAAAACAATATGTATGTGATAATCCAAGGAGATGTCTAAGCTTAAAATACAGGGTAGTGATAGAGGTAGTATTTAAAATTATAGAAGTGGGGCCAGCAGGTGATGTGGTAGTTAAGGTGCTCAACTCTCACGTAGTCTACTGCAGCTCGAGTCCCAGAACCAGCGGCTTGATACTAATGTCAAGCACATGTGAGTGTGTGCCCAAAATCCCAAGAGGAGAATGAGGGAGAGGGGATTGTGGCATGGCTGTCCCTCTGGGAGGTGATTTATCTCCTTCTGTCTCTCTGGTAAGTACATGCGCCCTATAGCAAAAATCTCTCTTAAAAATTTTAGAAGCAAATTAAGCACACCCATGGAGTGTATACAGAATGAAAAGAGGAGGGAGTCTATGGACTAAACTGGATAAGCACTAACTTTATGGTCTTGGGCAGAAGAATAAGTAAAGAAACTGAGAAAAATAAGCCAGAAGAATAAGAGAATTTAATATCACAGAGACCAAGACAGGACAGAGTATCAGAAGAGAATATTCAACAGAATCAAATCCAAGATCAAGTAAGAACTAACTTTTGAAGTGTACACCAGTTTTTATGTTGAGGTAGAGATTGCTAGCAACCTTATTGGAGAATTTTCACTAAAGTTTTTAAAGTGAAACCCAACGTTCATCAGGTTGAATGGTAAAAGGAGCATAATCAAGTCAACACAGCACAGACTATTCTCTAATAAGAGAACGGCAAGACATTGGAGAGAGCTGAAATTATTTTAAGCATAGAAAGGACATGAACATGTTTACTACATAGGAGAAGAATATCTAGGAGACAGAGAAAGGCAGGGCGGACAGGGGTAGTAAGATGCTTTAAAGTCCTTGAGGAAATGGAAGAGGTGATACTGGGATCTAGAGCATGAAGATAGGGCTGGTCAAGGAAAGCTGCAGGAATTCATGGCTCTATCACATGATTTTCTTTTTTTCTTTTGGAGAGTTTTTTTTTTAGAGATTTTCGCTATAGGGCGCGTGCGCTCGCCAGACAGACAGAGAGAGACATAGAGACAGAAAGCGAGAAATCACCCCCCAGGGGGGGATGGTCACACCACAATCCCTTCTCCTCCATTCTCCTCTCGGGATCTTGGG